TGTCAGGTTCCTTTGCTGGCCGTTGGGGTATTATGGAAGGCAGGTAATGTTTTATATATGTTACTTGAGAACAAAATCAAGTCCAGAATGTGTAATATTTATCATGAGAGGATTTCTGATTTATGATGGAAAACATATATGTCATTGTCAGTGGAAAAAGCCTCCAACAAAAGGGAACATTTATCATGTCACTTTTACCAAAAAAGCCTTTCACACAGGAAAAGTTTGCTTAACATTTAAGTTTTATGCGTCCGTGTACAAGGGAGATTTCTTCTTTTACTCAGGTTGTTTTCATTCATTGTTTTCATTTGCCCATCTAGCAGTACGTGTAACTGAGCTGAAATGCATCGGCAGCTTGAATGAATGAAATAACCAAAGGATTTTTTTTTTTTTTCAAACAATTAAACATTTGCAAACAAATACAAATTTATAATAAAATGCAAGAAACAACTGTGCCTTCTTAGCCATTTACTTTTATCAAACTTAAGTGTGCCTGTCATTTACAGCTGTTTCAGATCTCTTTCTTGTTATCCATGAGAGTTTGATTTGCTTGTTTCACATAGTGTTGTTACTTGTATTTAAATGTCATCAAGACTTACATTTGTCAGCCAGCCATATTATTCTGCAACATTGTTGCCATCAAACTATGCCCTTTGATTACTAGCCAAACTGTGTATGTTTTGAATCTTTAAAGGTCATCATTTTCTTATTCAGTATTTGCCTTGTCAAATCTTGTGTTTTTCTTTTCTGGTAATTGTCATCACTATTGCCTTTTATTCGATTGCAACAGTCACATTTAAATAAGAATATTGTTGTGTTTTTTTTAAATCTAAAAACTAAACTAATACACTTTCTTTGCTCGCCTTTGTCACTTGTGTTTTATTGCAACAAAGACATCACTTCTGCTTTTTGAAATTACTTGACAATAGTACTTGCTTGTTTACTTAAAATCCAGTTGAATATGGAGAAGTAGTCACAAGTCATGCCAGATATTGATATTTTGAGGAACCTTTCAACTTCCTTTGTTTAGGCGTTGGTTGTGGTCAAAGAACGTTGTACCTAATGTCTGATTTTACGTCAGTGTGGCTGGTACACGTTTCAGAATGACTTTCAGTCACATCTATGCTGTGACTTATTTTAATTTGCCAGCTGACATGAGAGAAAGCACATGCCAGCTAATGAAAGGGGCCTGCTGTCCTCACATATCTGTGTTCTGCCTGTGATTTTAGTCTTTGGGCCAGTGTTGATTCCTCAAGGTGACTCTAGTTGGAGTATTTTTATTTGTGTGTGTGGATTATAGCCATTTGTGTCTGTTATGAAAGATATACCAGCAGAGATTTATTCTTGTTTCATCTGTGGTTCTCATCCAAGAATAATTGTCATTGATGCTACTTTGAGAATATATGTACATTACTTTTATTGTGTTAAAAACCTGTCACTTATTCTGCAGAGTTCAATAAAGTATATATTTTATGTTTTTCCCCAACTTTGGTTATTGAATTTTCAGAATACAACCTGATAACTCAAAGTGCACTTCTGTCAAGTCTATACTAAACAACTCGGTGGCAAAATAGATAACACAAAGAAACATTATTGAATTACTAAAAAAGTAAATCCGTAACAAGCTCTGTGAGCCTGTATGTGGGTGCTTTGACCTACGTGCTAACATCAGTATGCTAACATGCTCACAATGACGATGTTAACGTGGAAGTTCAGCTGGTATAATGTTTCCCACGCCCACCATCTTAGTGTTTTGTGTTATCATACTAACATTAGCTAATTAGCACCAAATACAGCTAGGAATGTGTGTGTATTAAAGTCATGTTGGACAAGGGATCACCAAAGTTCCTACAGTTCATCCTGAGGGGAGCGGGAAAGTCTTTACCAAGTTTTATGAGATGATACTTAAGTCTGGATTAGCTAAAATGAAGAACTGCCTGAATAAAAACAGAATACTCCAATATTATTTAAAATTTTCACAAAAAGTAACGAGCTGGCAAAACATATATTGTGGAACTGAGGCAGAACAGAAGCAGAGGTTAGTAAAGTGGATTAGTAGTTTGGCTTTTTAGGCCTCCTAGTCCATATTGACATTTTACATTAAAGCAGCAACAAGGAACCTTTTTTGTTGTTGTTGTTGTTGCTGGCAGCCCCTGTGGACAAAAGCAGCAGTGTTTCCACCCCCTTGTTTCATTGATTTCAAAGGGGAATCCGACCTGGTGGCAGGAATTAAGAATAACTATATAGAAATAGTCAATCTTCTTGCTTATGGTCTTGTTTGTTTATGTAGGTCATACAGAGGCATCAGTATTCAGTTGAGACTGTTTGATGACCAGTTAAAAACTTCTTGTAGTAGCTTTAAGTAAAGGGAGCTGGTGTTGATAAATGGGGAAAATTATCAGTGCTAAAATTATAAGATAAGTTCAAGGGAGAGTGGGAGGAAGCAGATAATAATGCTGGTTTAAAACAAAGGGTGGAGTTCACTGTATTGCATCCACATACAATATTGCCTAACTGATCAGGAAAAGAAACTGAAACTCTGCAATGCTAGACTTGCGTGTGTGGTCTGCTATACAAGTTGTTTTCAACTTCAAGGGAAATTGCTTGCTCGCTTGCCTGTATTGAATTCAATGCTGTAACACAGTTGTTATGCTACCGAATAAAATAAAATAAAAGGCAGACATTTAAGGGCTCAGCAGCAGTGAGTCAAAACAAAACAAAAAAGTGTTTGAACGGAGCACTTCCTGATGCAGAAATCTTCCATAAATCATCCGGTGGCCAATCTTCGACATGAAGCGAGGAATGTTGTCGGACTACTTGCTATAGGGTGGGACAAACAGACATGTTAAAACAGTTGTCTCACTGCAGAGTCACTCATTTCCTCATTACACTAAATCATAGCAGTTATGGTTTCAAGCGTCCTGTCCTGTCTTGTGTGTGTCTTGTTTGTGATCGTGCTCCCGGCTGTATGGGGTGAGTTTCATTGTGGTGTTTTTTCCCAGGTTGAGGATCTTTAGGACTTTCTCAGTGATATGCTGACAGCTTTGACAGTTTGCATGTAAATGTATGTTTAAACTACTACTTAAAAGAGACAACTGTAATTGTAGTTTAGCTAATAATGTTATCAGTTCCATGACCCTGTATTTTATGTTACAGCTGATTACTGTAGCAGCTATTGGGACACGGATGGTCAATATCATGATGATCAGCAATGTTTCCCTCAGTACTGCTGTGGAAACTGCAACCAAAAATACTGCTGCAATGAAAAGAAATACAGTCTAACTCAAGAAAAACAAAATCGCTGTTCTGGAAGGTGTGTTTCACTCTCTATGATACAAAGATTAAGACACTTACAGGATGCAAAATAATATCAGCATTTTAAATAGTTTTAATCATTATACTTCTTTAAATTGCCCTTTCTGTGTCTTTTTCCCCAGGCCTAGCTATGGTAAAAATCGTATTCCTCTGCTTCTCGGAAGCATCTTGGGGACTATTTTTCCCATCATCTTCTGTGTGGGTCTCATCATCTGCTGTGTGGCTCCTTGCTGCTTGTGCTACAAGAAGTGTCGAAAAAGACAGAGGCCCCAAAGTAGGAGACATGTTTGGTTTCAGTTGAGCTTGTGCAGGAAACTGCAGTCTTGTTTTATGTGTTGTATGTGCAAGCGATTACAATTATACAGTTAAAGGAAAAGCTCAGCCTCTTGAAAATATACTTATCTGCTTGTTAAATTGGAAGATTTATACCACTCTTATAAGCTAAGCAGGAGCCCGCTAACTTAGCTTAGCACAAAGACTGAAAACAAGGGGAAACAGCTAGCCTGGCTCCGTCCAAATGAAACACAATCAGTCCATCAGCACCTCTAAAGCTTATAAATTAACACATTGTATCTCATTTGTTTAGATTGTACAATAATAAATTGCTGTTTTATGGGATGTTATGTGCCAGATATTTGTTTGTCACAGGACCAGTCGCCAGGCAACCAGCTGCACCAGTAACTTCTTAAGGCCCAAGTATGCTTGCCGCTTGAGACCTGTCGTGCTACACTGTGACGTCAAAATGATTACAGTCTCTGCTGGTTGCCTGGCGACTGGTCCCGGCCAAGAAATAGTCCGGCACATAACTGCCCCATTAAACAGAGATTTGTTGATTTTTACAGTTTAAAATGAAAAAAGAGATATGATGATTAGTGAGCTTTATAGGTGCAGATTGCTTTGACAGAGCCAACAAACTCTCAACAAGAAAGTGAACTGTGTTAAGTATGTTTGCCAAAATGTTGAAACTTTCCTTTGAACAAAAAACTTTGTTTTTGGATCCACCTGTCTTTGGATAGAATTTGTTTCAGTCTGCATACAAATCACAGTAGAGTATTGGCAGCTTATTTTCAAACCAATCTCTGACTTTACCTTCAGCTGTGGCCACCGTAGTCAACTTACCCCAGCAGCCAACCTCTCCCTCTGGATATCAACCTTCCTACCCAGGCTACCAGCCTGTACCTGTCCAGCATGGATATGGAGGCCTGCTTATCCCTACAGCACCACCACCCTCATACATGGAAGCCAGTAAGTTATCTCATACCATTTATAAATGTAACTATTCTGCTAAGCAGTTGCTGGTAAATTCTAGGCTAATTCAACTGCCTCTGCCCCACTTTTGTTTTATATAGAAAAAGGGAATACTGTATGCTGCATGCTGGTGCTACCAAGTCTTGTTATCAAGCATATTGTTTTACATGCAAAACAATAAATGTGTTACTCTGATTTAACTATTCTACTAAACAGTGGCTGGTACATTTTAAACTAATTCAACCTAGGAGGAATATG